CGCAGTTTGCCGACCACTGGCTTAGGCAGCAAAGGAGGACCAGGACAATATGCCCATTCGCGGCTTTAGTGGGGAAAGGGGTCGCTCTAAGCTCCGGCCCGCGTTGCTGTAAACAGGGAACAAGGACAGGGGGACACCTGGGGGGGGGGGCAGGGAGCGAGGGGGTGAAGGTCACGTCCACCACGTCTCTGCACACAGCTCCGGGCCTCCAGCCAGGCCGGGTTTGCACACGGGCTCAGCACAGGGTGAACGGGAAGATGGAGAGGAGCGGGCCAGCGGGTGGGGAAGACTTCTAGGACTCCGGGGCTGAGTTCCCGGAACTCGGGGAACGGGGGTGGCTGCGCCCCTGGGGGTGATCAGGCTGGGACACGGTGTACCCGCAGCTCCTCCACCTGATCCGGCGCCAAAAGCGGAGGCCCAGGCCCCGGGGAGCCGTGCACACGGCCCGCCCGGTGCGCTCAGCCCGGCCCAGGGCGCTGCGGGCGGGTGCAGGGCCGGGGCGGGTGCAGGGCCGGGGCGGGTGCAATCCGCGGCGGGTGCAATCGGGGCGGGGCCTCTGCGCCCGGGCCGCCTCCTCGGGGCTATAAAACCAGCACGCGGGCTCCTCCAGGCCATCACGCGTTTTGGACACGAACGAGTATCCTCTCTCCTCTCGCTTGGGATCTCAAGCCTCACCTCTGATCGAAATGGACCCCAACTGCTCCTGCGCCACCGGTAAGCTCCCCGCCCTCAAGCACTGGGCCCTGGATGCCCCTCTCCCGGGCACAGGACGGGGGTCCTCGGGGTGGAGCACGGGTCCCTGGATGATGCTGGAGCAGTGGGTCCTGTCCTGGGTCAGTGCGTCCTGCCCAGCCCGGCTGCTGAGGGCATGCCCCGTCGCCCTCTGCCTCTGGGTGAGAGCGGAGGGTCCCCAGGCTCAAGGCTGCTGTGTTCCAGGGTGGACCAGTGGGTCAGGGGGGTTTGCTGGACTGGGACCCAGTGTCCTGGGCAGGACTTGGTGGGCGGTGGGGATGTTGCCTGTTTGCAGTTCAGGGTAGGACCCTGGCCCCAGCCCATCTGTCTGGGCTGTGTCTGGAGCCGGGACCTCCTCTCCTCCCTTTGGGGGAAGCCAGGGGGCAAGAGAGCCACTTGAACTTCCCGCAGTGGAAAAGGAGCTCCCTCTAGGGTCCGGACGGAGGAGGGGCAGGGAGGGATGGTGGATGGGCTGCGGTGTCTCCTGAATCAGGTGTCTCACTGCTCCTCTTTCTCCTGGCAGGTGGCTCCTGCGCCTGCGCCGGCTCCTGCAAATGCAAAGAGTGCAAGTGCACCTCCTGCAAGAAGAGTGAGTGTGAGGGCCTTTCTCTGGGGAGCGGGGGGGTTGAATGAAGTCAGGAGGGAGCCCAGAGCTCAGCAGGCACCCTTGGACCAAGGACCCAACGTCTCTGCCCCACTTCCCCGCCGCTGGAGCAGAGCCAGAGCTCAGAGCCCTGAGGTCCAATCTCTCATTCTAGAAGGGACGTCAGCACGTAGTGTCAGGGATGGAGCCCCAGCGGGACCCTGCCTCCTAGCGATGGAGCCTTCTGACCCCTCCAGTGTCCTGACCCTTCACACACATGACCGTGGTCTCCCCCCCTCCCCCCCTCCAGGCTGCCCTTTCCCGTAGAGTCAGCCCAAACCCCTCCTGCTGCACTGCTGGGGCCGGGGTTTGCCCCTCCCTCATCTTGAGGACCTTCCTCCCTTCATTGTGTGGTCCTAGGAGGCTGGGGCCGACTTCCATCGCTTTCCCCTCTCCCCTCCTGCTACCCCCAGGCCCTGGCACTGCCTCTTTAAGCTTTGTGACCTGTCTGGGCTCAGGATGGCAGGGAAACCTTTTTTCTAGGGGGTGGGACCTTTCCCAAAGGTTCTAGCCATGGTCTCAGGACAGCACCTGCCCTCTGAAACTCAGGCCCATGGAGGGGGGGGGGGTGTAGCTTGTGCCAGGCCTGCTGTCGGGCAGGGAGGTGCCGTGCAGTGTGCTGACTTCCCCCTCTGCCCCCCTCCCAGGCTGCTGCTCCTGCTGCCCCGTGGGCTGTGCCAAGTGCGCCCAGGGCTGCGTCTGCAAAGGCGCCGCCGACAAGTGCAGCTGCTGCGCGTGACGAGGCGTGATGAGGCGTGACGCGGGGAGAGCCTGCCCCGGATGTAAATAGAGAAATGTCTACAAACCTGCCTTTTCGGATATTTTTTTTCTTAAGCCCTGACCCCGTTGCTACGTCCCTTTTTGTATGGAATATTTGAATGACAATAAACATTTCAAGACTCCTCTGGCTTCGGGTTCCTGATGGTGGGTGTTCTGGGAACAGGGGCCTCGTTTCTCCACTGGGCGGTGGGGGGACCTGCCTGGGGGGAGTGGGAGAGGTGGGGTGTCGGCACAGGAAGGGGGAGGCGGGTGAAATGGGGCAGATGAATGTCTGGCCTGCCGCTGGCTGTCTCTCCGTTGTGCGTGGTTCCTCTACCACCTTCTAGAATGAACTGGTCCCTGTCCTTCCTGTGGGTACCGGTGCCACTGTGTGTGTGTGTGCGTTTGGTAGCCACCACCTATGCTGCACCTACTGTCTACACAGGCAGCGGGCTGTCGGGGAGAGGTGACTCACAGGCTGCCCGGCAGAGACATTACCGAACAGGAGACACAAAGCGGCTGAGACAGGATGTGCTGGGTGGGCCTGAGGGGAGAGACTTTGGCACTGAGGTCTGAGTGCTGGGGGGGAAGAGGGGGTGGGGAGGAGGCCAGCGTGTCTGGGCCAGTGTGTGAGGGGCGGAGCTCAAGTGCCCTTGGGAGAGGGGAGCACAGACCACGTGCCTCATTCATCCGGATGACTCCCCATCTGGCCCCGCAGCTGAGTCACTGGGCGGGTGGAAAGGGCCCAAGCCACCACCCTGCACCCCCTCCCACCCGCAACCTGATATCTGAGATGTAAGATGGGCCAGGGGAGGCTTGTATTTTTTAAAAATACATTTTTGTTGATTTCAGAGAGGAAGGGAGAGAGAGAGAAAGAAACATCCATGATGAGAGAGAATCATGGATGGGCTGTCTCTTGCACACCCCCCACTGGGGATCAAGCCCATGACCAGGGCATGTGCCCTGACCGGGAATCGAACCGTGACCTCCCGGGTCATAGGTTGATGCTCACCCACTCAGCCACACTGGCCGGGCAGGGATCTGTATATTTAACAAGAACCTAAGCTTGCAGCCCGCAAACATGCTCACACGGAGCCAGTTAGAGAAATGAAAGGAGCTTCTGTAGGAAGTGTTTTTTTCTTAATATATTTTATTGATTTTTTACAGAGAGGAAGGGAGAGGGAGAGAGAGTTAGAAACATCGATCAGCTGCCTCCTGCACACCCTCCCCCTCCACTGGGGATGTACTCGCAACCATGCCCTTGACCGGAATCGAACCGGGGTCCCCTGAGTTCGAAGGCCGACGCTCTAGCCACTGAGCCAAACCAGCTAGGGCTGCAGGAAGTGTCTCTACCCCGGTGGGTCTTTGGAGCCATCACCCCTCACCTGTGGCTGCCGGTGGCTGAGGGACCCTGGAGGGACCGGGTCCTGCCTGGGGCAGGCAGGCTTCTAGGACGAGAGGCTTGGTGGAGAGCGGGCCTCGCTGAGAGGATGGCACGCCGCCTTGGGGGCTGGCACTGTGGAAGCCGCCACGGCATCACCGGGCTGGATCCCAGCCTGGCACGGACCTCGTGGGGCTGGAGCAGGAGCGGGACAGGGCACTGTCCTGCTTGCAAGTCCCATGCCAAGGTCACAAACGTGCCCACAGCTTGCTCTTTCACAACCTTACCCTCAGGAACCGCAGCTGCCTAAGCTCTCCGGAGAAGGGGGGCATGGTGTTTCCATTGCCCTGACAAACACAGTCACCCCAGCCACGTGTGAAGTGACAGCTTCACTCTGTCCTCAAGCCCCGCTCCCCAAGGGGTGGGCGGTGCATGGCTATTATGGGTGACTGTTGGAGAGATTCATTTACATTAATGTTTTTCTAATTTCATATGGCTGTACCAGAATGCCTTGTTTGACTCCAGAAGATATTACTTTGCTTCATGGGAAGGCAGTTCAATGCGTCATCTCTGGGGCCAGGCCTAGCGGGAAGCAGAGCTCCGCTGCTTAGGCCAGTTCTGTGGCCTGCCTGTGCCTCGTAGTTCTCATCTGGAAAATGGGTACAATCGTAAGCGCCTACTGCACGGGGCTGCTGTGAAGTTACGTGTGTCCAACACAGTCTCCGGCACACGCTAGGTTCTTAGTAAAGGAACTAAATTTATTTATTGTATTTCACGGTGCCTGACAATCAGTAGGCGACCCAGCAGTGCTCTGTACTTGACTCCAGGAGCATTTGCTGTATGTAAATCACTGTGCTAAGCACACACAGAGAGGGGAGTTAACATAGACACAAGATCTGATCTCTCTGCTGGAGGACTTACTTCAGATCCCCGTGGTCACTTACAGATGCAGCTGCTGAGCGGGGACAGAGTGAGAGCGAACTTTTCTGCCTCTGGAGAACAGCTCCATGCACACTGACTCTGGAGTCGGCAGCTAAGGCAGGGGTGTGGAAGCCCGGGAAGAGGGTGCGAGTCAGTCTGCCCAGAGGCCAGGAGAAAATCCTATTCATCCTCTACCCATCCATCCATCCATCCATCCATCCGTCCATCCACATGGTCCCTTGTTGGCCAGACTGAGAAGAGCATTTGTGGCAAAGGGAACCTCAGCCAATGAGACAGTCCCCTTAGGAATTCAAGTATGGGCTGGAACGAGTTCCAAGGACATTTGTCACAGGCACATGCCCCGACAGGATTCTCTGGGCCCTGAGTCCAGGCCTGTAGCTCCCGCACCTCAGCCCTACGGCATTTCCTTGCTCCTGCCCCCTTTCCATGCTCGGCCCCCAGCCCCTCCCCTTTACCCTTCCCACCGGTGACCCTCAGCTCAGTCCCGCTTGGAACCAAGGAGTCCGGAGAAGATGCTGGCGGGGCACAGGGCTCCCCCAGGGCCTCCAGGCCCCCCCGGAGGATCTGAGGCTGAAGGCAGACGCGGACGGCGCCTGCATTTCACCTCCCGTGCTGGGCCACGCTGCTTCCTGCCTGGACCTGTGGGACACGGCCTGGGTGAGGCTTTCTGTGGGTGATGAGGCGGTTCCTCCCTGCCTTTGCAGGGGGATGGGGGTGGGAGGCTTGGGAAACTCCCTTTTCCAGGTTTGTGCCACTCAGATGCGGTTCCTCAGAGCCATACCGGGCACAGGGTGTGGGGCCTGGTGCAGAGGAAACATCAAGGTCAACTCCCCAAAGTCAGCTCTCCCGGAGGGAAAGGCTCCCAGAGCGCATATGCAAAGGCCCTGGGCTCCACCGACTCTGAGAGCGCGCCCTCCCCCATCCTGCCCGAGGGAAGAGAGTGAGGAAAGGCTTGGATATGGAAAGGACAGCCTGTGCGGTCACTGCCTGTGCGGTCACTCCCCTCGAGGTGGAGCCAGAGAGGGTTCAGGGGCAAGGGACCCGTGGGAATGGGGCTGTATTATTATTATTATTACTTTTTAAAAAATATATATTTCATTGATTTTTTTTTTTACAGAGAGGAAGAGAGAGGGATAGAGAGTTAGAAACATCGATGAGAGAGAATCATCGATCAGCTGCCTCCTGCACACCCCCCACTGGGGATGCGCCCGCAACTAAGGTACATGCCCTTGACCGGAATCGAACCCGGGACCCTTTAAGTCCGCAGGTCGACACTCCATCCACTGAGCCAAACCAGTTTCGGCATGTATTATAATTATAATGATTATTATTATTATTCAGCCACTGTACTGGGCCTGTGACAAGCACTGGTCAACACACATGAATTGTGCATTCGTGCACACGAGTACATACACTTACTATACATTATAAAATAGGGGACACATAGAAAAAATAACACAATGTAGGAACAACAACAAAATAGGCAAAACTCTTTGTTGTACTTGATACTGTCCCTATAGCCTATTGATTTTATTTTTTTCTCAGAATGCCTTCGTCGATGGTTGCTAAACTGTTGTATCTGTAACCAGTCTACCTGTGGTTTGGAATTGCCCAGTAAGTGTAGTTCCGATACCATGAACTCGGATTCATGTTTTTGCTCTCGTTAGTAAGACGAAAGCCACATATGGTCTCTGTTGCATAGACATTTATTTATTTATTTTACTTACTTATTAAAAAAAAAAAAAAAAGAGAGAGGAAGCGAGAGGGAGAAAGAAAACGTCCATCGACTGCCTCCTGTACACCTCCTGCTGGTGATGGAGCCTGCAACCTAGGCATCTGCCCTGACCTGGAAGCGAGCCAGTGACCTCTTGGTGCATGGGATGGTATTCAACCACTGAGCCACACTGGCTAGGGCTATTTATTTATTTATACGACCCTTTCAAAATGTAGAATCACTCTTTTAAAAATATATATATATTTTATTGATTTTTTTACAGAGAGGAAGAGAGAGGGATAGAGAGTTAGAAACATCGATGAGAGAGAATCATTGATCAGCTGCCTCTTGCACACCCCCCACTGGGGATGTGCCCGCAGCCAAGATACATGCCCTTGACCGGAATCGAACCTGGGACCCTTCAGTCCACAGGCCGATGCTCTATCCACTGAGCCAAACCAGTTTCGGCTAGAATCACTCTTAGGCCATTCACAGACAAGGCTTGGGCCCTATTTAGCCCAGAGGCTATTATTTACTGACCCTTGATCTGTGCTTTTGAGATTGTTTACATATACCCTATCTGACTGATGGAAACGCTAGGTAATAGGGTATCTCTTTCCAGCTCTGTGTCAGTGACATCACATGGGGCCGCTTGAGATCAGGCAGTACTTACCCTCTCTAAGTGGGCAGATCCTCAAGAGCAGAGCTTGACTTATTGATTGTAGATTGTCCAGACTTAAGAAAGCGAGGCACTAAATGTTGATAATGCAGATTAAGCCTAAAATGTATAACTATTACATTATAAATAGCACCAAAAATTGAGGGTTAGGGTTACTGACTTTTTTAGAGAGAGGAAAAGGGAGAGGGATAGAAACATCGATCAGCTGCCTTCTGCACTTCCCCTACTGGGGATCGAACCCGCAACCCCAGCATGTGTCCTGCCTGACAGGGAATCAAACTGTGATGGCCTGGTTCCTGGTCCACGCTTAACCACTGAGCCACGCCGGTGGGCTGAAATGCCCGGGTTTTTTTTTTTTTGGTTTTTTTTTTAAAGATTCTATGGAAGCTTAAAAGCATTGACTTTCCTTACTGGGTGTTTTCTGCCACCTGGTGGTCATTTCGCTTATTGCGACCTATGGGCCACCCTCCCCTTCTCCACTTTCACTTGTCAATCAACCTGCACGTCAAAAGGGTAAGACCACCAGGCTTGCTTTCCTCAGATGCTAGAAAGCAGTTCTAAGCTCACAGCCAGGACAGCCTGAGAGGTCACAGAGGCCCTGGGAAGGTAGTTTGGAGTTAGCATGAGCTGGTGTACACAATGTCCTGCCCGTTTTCCTCGGGCCTTGGTTTGAATTTTCAGTGCGCCAACTTTGCTCCCACCTTTTCCACCGTCTCTAAGGCTACAGGTCCTGTTAAGACTGTGTTTATAATTTATGATCAAATGCATTTTAATTTATTTTGAGAAAAATTTGCATAGACTTGGAGATAATTACACACATTTAGGGTGCCATAAAATGAGGGTATATTGTATTAAAGCAGTGTTTTCCAAATTTATCTGGCATTAGATAAATGGCTGTCTCCCCCCACCCCCTCACACACACACACATACACTCCCAGAGACTGTTCACAGCAAGGAGGTCTGGGAATCTCAGTGTCATGGGTGTCAGAGCTGTTATTATGGTGACTCGGTGCTCTGGCTGACCTTGAGGATGGTGAATATCCCCAAGACTCAGTTTCCAGGCTTGTGCTACCTCCTGTCCATCTGATTCCAGATATGATGGTTATTCAGAGCCCAGGCTTGGACAGAAGCCAAGTTCTGTACCTGTTATTGATATGTATAATATTTAATAGCAATAATGATGACGGTTCTAGAAGCTTTGCGAGAATTCAAACGAGTGCAGCCAGAACTTCGGACTATTCCCTACGCAGCACCCAGATAGCACACGTCACTCCTCTGATCCGAACCCGCCAGGGGCTCCTCATTTCTCTTGGAGCAAAAGCTAAAGTCCTTACATTGGCTCAGAAGGCCAACATCACTCCCTCCCACCCGCTACGGTAGCCTAATCCTGGTCCCGGGGCCACCAGGCAGGAATGCTCTGCCTCAGGCCTTCGCACCTTCTGTTCCCTGTGCCTTGGATGCTATCAGTGGCTCCCTTCCTCACTGCCAAGTCTTCACTCGGTCCCACCCCTGGGAACTCACCCCAGCTCCCTCCCCAGTTTTATTTCCTTCCTGAGCACCCGCAGTTATCTAACCCCCTGTCTCCCCTAACAATGTGCATTCCATGAGGGCTTTTGATGAAAAAATTCTTGCTTACTGCAGACGCATACACATAAGACATACCTAAGACAAGACACACTTGCACATTGAAGACCTCTCTCTTTGGAAATCCGGGCAGTATTTGAGGGAGACCATTTAAAGCCATTATGTAGCTACCATAAAGGATGTTTTATAATAATGGTAACAAATGTGCAATAGTTTTTACTTAGCCCAGGAAGTAATAGCATCATCTCACACCTTGGTTTTATAGGCTCAGATCAGATCTGACCCATACTTCTTCATTTCCCCTGCTTGTTACCTTACCTTCATTCAGTCAAGGCAAACAGTGAAAGGCTGCCATAGAGTAATGGCCTGGGATTCAGAACAACCACATTGGGGAGTACGTGCCGAGAAGTGAACTGTGGTTGCTGCGATGGCTTTAATAAAAACAAGAATCGAATCATTGACGGTTCTGGATCTGCATTAGATGTGGCATCCAATGGCCTGGGACCCGCCCTGTCTCTGCTATGTACTGGGCATGTCACTATGGGCCAATCCCAGTGCCCAGAATAGGTGACCAGATTTTATCATTGGTAAAGTGGGACACCATTGATGGTGTCTGTGTGTGTGTGTGTGTGTGTGTGTGTTCTTGATTAAAAATTTGGTCTATATGGAGCAACAAAAATTTTCATAGAACACAAAAATAGTATTGTAATATGTTTTTAAATTTCAACATAAGTACAATTTACAAATATAATAAATTAATATGGTTAGGGATATTGATTATATTTTGTCTCCCCCACTTAGCCTGCCAACTCTCTCAGGACAGGGATTTTTTCCGTGGTGGTTGCTACTGCGCGCCCATGGCGTCCAGATTAGTGCCTGTCACCAGGATGGCGCTGGATAAAGGTAAGAAACCCGCCCTTGCCCTCACCGGTGTGGTTCAGTGGCTAGAGCATGGGCCTGGGGACTGAAGGGTCCCAGGTTCGATTCCAGTCTATTGCATGTACCTTGGTGGGGTGTGCAGGAGGCAGCTGATGGATGTTTCTCTCTCATCGATGTTTCTCTCTCTCTCTTCCTCTCTGTAAAAAAATCAATAAAATATATTTAAAAAAAGAAAGAAAGGGAAAAAAAAAAAAAAAACCCGCCCTGGCAATTGTGGCACCGCCTCCTCTGGACTGAGCCTTCCGTAACCACGTGGGAGAGGCAATGGCCACCGTGCGGGGAGTGACAGCTCCGCGCAAGGCCCCGCCCCCGCCCCGCCCCCGGCCCCGCCCTGTCCTGTCCGCCTCCGCGGGGCTCCATAAAGTTTAATTGGCGGCGCAGCGCGCGGGGGCTTCTGGGAGCGCCGGCCTGGGCCAATCAGGAAGCGCGGGCCGGCGGCGCGAGAAGCGGCGGCCGCGTTCCGGGCCGGGACCTGAGCGGCGGAGGCGGCTGCCGAGCCAGGTGAGCCCGTCGCCGGCCGCGTGTGTCGCGGGCCTGGGTTTGTCACTTCGCCTCGAGCCGGGGGCCCCGAGGCGGGGCGGGGCGGGGCGGGGCGGAGCCGGGCCCCCACGCCCGGAGCCATGCTGCCCCCCGGCCCGGAGCCCCACGGAGCCGGGCGTGTCCGACCGACGCCGGCGAGAAGGCGCCGGGCTGCGTCCGGGAGGACCCCCTGCGGGCCCGCTTTCTGTGGCCCCGCGCCCCCCTCCGACTCCCCGTTACCCCCTCCTCCCAGCAACCACGCCCCCACCTAGCGCCGCCGGCCCACCCGCCCGGTCCCCGCCGCAGCTCCTCGCCCCTCGGGGGCGCACCCTGTCGGCTGGCATCGCCCCCCCGAGGGAAGGGGGCTTTGCGCGAGGGTCACGCCCCTGTGAGCCTTCCCGACCCCTTAGCCTGTCCCCTCTGCCGCACCCCGGGGCGTGCTGCTTCCCCGCCAGGGAGGTGGCTCCCCGAGCTCGCTCTGGGCGCCCAGCACCCCATCCTCGGCCAAGGCAAAACCAAAGTTGATGGGGGTCTCTTTCCCGAAATTGCAGGGCCGACCGCAGGGCTTCTCAGACTCGGCAGCACCCTTGTCATTGGGGCTGGGTGATTCTTTGTCGCGGAGGCGGAGCTGTGCTTTGTGGGGTGTCCCTCTGATCTCCACCCTCCAGATGTCAGGGGCACAGGGCCCTTCTCCCTCGCTTGTGACAACCAAATAGGTCTCTGGGTGTTGCCGGTGGGTGATCCCTGCGGGAGAGACTTGCCCCCAGCGGAGAACCTTAGGTTTAGAGAGAAAAGCCAGATCCAGAGGCCTTCCGGGGGCCGGCTTGGTGATCTGTTGGAAGGTGGGGTGGCTGTCCCTCCTGAGGTTCGGTATTCAGATAGTTTCCCTCTCCTGAAACGGGACGGCCCCTTCTGAAGACACATGGAGTTTAACGACTGGAGTTTAACGACTGAATTAATGTAGCCGCCATTTGTGAATTCTTCATGGGGGGTGGGGGGCAGGCCCTTAGGAATCATCTGAGCCAACCTCAGCTTCAGTGGTGGTCACACTGGGGTCCAGGGTTAGCCCCAAAGGAACGGGCTGATGGGCAAAGCCAGGCTGGCGTCCATTGTTCTTCGTTCCCACGCCTGGCTGCTACTGCGAGTTTATCAGAAAGTAGTAACCTAGGACCTACTGGATATTGGATGTTTCCATGTGATGCCAGGTTGCCTCTCTGCTCATTGAAGGTGAAATAATGCAAGTGGTATTTTATGTATGAGGAACGCTGATCCTCCACATCCTTTACTGCACACACGAAGTCATCCAGGCCATTGCTAGTCTTTAATTTCTCTTCTGTCTAGGGTAATTTATTTCCGTTCCTTTGGTTTCTCCAGAAACCCACCTTCTGAATAATGATTAGGACTAACTTTCTTTTCGTCTTACAAGACTATGGAGAATTATCCAATTCTTATAAAAAAAATCATTATTCTCTTTTTAGAAGCCTCAGAAACAGTGGTATCTGTTAAGATGTAATTTTTGTGTGTGTGTGTGGTGGTTATAATCGATAGCTGGCAGATACAGTAAAAAGTGGAATGATGTTGTCATCTAACCATAGTTTATATATTTAAAAGAAGAGAGGAGAGCAGAACCAGTCTTTGAAATCTTGAGTGAGACTTTACTCATTAATCTTTGGTGTTGAATACCGAACACAGCTCTTAATATAGCTTAATTAATAAGAAGGTTTGAGGGCAAGATTTTAACTTTAAATTAAATGCCATATTTCTTTTGAATCATACCTTCACTGTGGAAACTTGGACTTAAAATAATAACCATGTGTCACCCGAGAACTGCCCTCTCGAAATCTGGGGCTCCTTAGAGAATGTCGAAGAGCAGGTTTCAGCCCAATTCCCACAGGCCAGGCTGAGGGATGCCACCGGTGCATGAATCCATGCACTGGGCCTCTAGTCCAGAAAATTATAGCAGTGCTAACTGCATTTGTTAGATTACAGGATCTTTGTCGCTGAAGAAATAATACTTGGATCTGTGGTAAAATTAGATTTCCATAGTGAGAGGTAACAAGTATTGTTTGGATATATTAAATTTCCGCAGGGGAAGTAGTTGGTGTCATCATTTCAAGCAAATGGGTGAATCAGGAGAGATTCCTTTAACATTGAAGGGAAGACAGATGGCCTTGTCTCTGTCCTTTCATCTTTCTCAGTCCTTTGTATTTATTGGATAACTGGGCTGTTTGGATTGTGGGTGATAAGGAAAAGGAAAAAGTCACATGGTTTAATATTGTGTTGTACTTGAAAAGGGCAGTGAGTTCCCTCTAGCATTCTGTGTGTTAGGTCCAAAGAACACATTATCCTGGACATATTTCATCATTTATAAAACAGATTTCTTCTCCCAAACATGCTCTTCAGATGAACAGCTTCCAGAGAGACGGGAAATGAAACAGGGCTACTGTGCAATTAACTTGCTAGAGCAGGACACAGAACTCAGAGAAACATTTATTTATGTTTATCAGTTTATCATAAAGGATATATCAGGGGTCCTCAAACTTTTTAAAGTGGAGGCCAGATCACGGTCCCTCAGAGAGCTGGAGGGCCGGACTATATGAACTACTAATTCCTACTGTAACACCTTGGCTGCGCTCACTGCCCAAAAAACCTGGCGGGTCGGATCAGACTCCTCTGCGGGCCACATGTGGCCAGCGGGCCGTAGTTTGAAGACGCCTGATATAGATGAACAGCCTGCCAAAGGTACATAAGGTGGGATCTGGAAGGGTCCTGAGCACCAGAGCTTCTGTCCTATGAAACAGGTGCCTCATCCTTCCAGCCTGTGGAAGCACTCACCACCCAGAAGCTCATCAAATCTCATTGTTCAAGAGTTCGTTTTCTTAAACATCTCTCTATATCTCTATATATAAAAGGCTAATTGGCTGGCTGGCTGGTAGCTGTGACGCGCACTGACCACCAGGGGGCAGACACTCAATGCAGAAGCTGCCATGATGTGCACTTGCCATTTAAAACTAAACAGCACCACGGACCTGATGCCGACAACCAACCCTCGGCTTCCCCCAAGTGGGACAGGCCCTGCCACCACCCTGGAGTGACACCCCACCAAATTGCAGCCAACGCTGCTAAGACCCCATGGCACAAAATGCAGCCAACAACCCCGCTCAGCCTGGAAACAGTGGCTGTGGGCGCTGGGTAATGACGTCACGTGGCAACGCCCAGCTTCCTCTCCCTAGCAACTAGCATCCTTGGAGTTTCTTCAGCCCAGGAACCTGACTTGCTTTATAGTCAGGTGCAAACATTTTACTGTTTGTGAAGCGTTTTGCCATGCCTCATCTCATTTGATCCTCACAGAAGTCCTAGAGTAGGCAGATAAGAGACTCGGTAGAATCATTTTTCTTTTTAAATGGGAGTACATTTTTCAGTTTTTCTCTAAATTGATCATTATAATAAAAACGCCTGTGTTATTCTATTTTCGTCGAGAAGCAACTAAATCTTTAGCATCATGTATTTTTCAGTCTTGATGACTCCTCAATTTTTTAACGTTGTAGTCTCTTAATCTGTGATTTTTACATGATATATTTGCAAACTTCTTATTCTGTCCTCCAGGTTTACTGTTACCTCCTGGTTCATAGGTTGATGTTCAGCTACTGAGCCATGCAGGCTGGGCTGTTCGAGAGTATTTATGGAGATTACCATGCTTCCCCCCTTCTCCTTCTCAAAGGTTGGTGGGTGATGCTGAAAGTTTCAGCCCTCCAGTCACTTGGTCTTTCTGGTGACCAGCCCCATCCTGATCATCTTTCCCTTTGAGTGAAGCTCAGTGGATTTTCTAATTGAACAAACACGCTGTTAAGCAGCTCCCAGATTAAAAAAAAAAACAAAAAACAAAACAAAACAGAAAATTATTCTCCTTCCTCCATCCCACCTTCTTGAAGCCTCCCTTCTGTTATCCCCCTGCAAGGCTAAACAGTCCTGCCTCTGACAGCAGTGGTAAGTTGCTCTGCATTTTAGGCTTTCAGTTGCTTGGTGGTTGAGGAGTCTGGAGGCTCAGGAGGATTTCTGCCAAGGGGCCAGGAGAGCAGTTTGTCCTCTGGGCCCTGGGTCTCTGTGATGCTCTCTGAAGCACCTGTCAGTGTTTCCAGTGCCCTCCGTCAGGCTGAGTCACTGCAGACAGGCTTCAGTGCGGTGAGTCGTCCTTACCGGCCTTTCCCCACCTGGCCCCAGGTTTGCTCATTGACTACTGTCCACAACCACTTCCCAGAGCTCTCAGGCTCCTTCCTGGCTCTGTCCTCCATGGCTCCCCAAGCATGCAGCTGGCGTCCAGTCTCTGCCTGTGTCCCGGCCAGATTTTCACCACACAAGCTTGGACTTCATCCCTCTCCCACCATCATTTCAGTTCTTCCTGTTGGACAAAGCTAGGGAGGTTAATGTCATCATCAGTATCTGGT